AAAAAAAAAAAAAGAATCTTTTTTTGAAATATACCTGCGTGTGCAGTTGGTTTACAGTTTCTCCTCTGCCCAGTTAAAATCCTGGCAAAATATTTGAGGTTTAATCCTTTCACTGGTAGGATGCCAGGCTTGCATAAATGTGAAGTGTTTGAATGTATTCTAATAAGTTGTTTGTTTTGTTTTTAAAGGAAGTTTTCGTAACAAAATTATGTTCTGTACTCCACTGAAATATTTGTTAACCACTGTAACACAAAATTTTACTTGTGAATGTTCAGGAATAGATTTATTTTAAGCCTTGTGTTAAAGAGAGAGAGTATTTTTGAAACTAGAAGTGAAATTTCAAAGCATAGTATTACTGGTGATGATTAGGAGATAACATGTCGGATATACTGTTTTATATCTTTACCAAGGTGGACTAAGATGATAGATAGTCTTGGAGGGATGCAGTGGTAGTGTCCTAGTGCAATTAAGAAAGGTAGTGCTAAAATTAAGAAAAAAAACTTGTCAAAATCCATGGCTTAAACTGTATATGAACTCTCTCTTGAATTTTAGGTTGGAAGAGGAAGACAAACTACTGAATGCTGAGAGTTACTATAAAAAAGCCTTAAGTTTGGATGAGACTTTTCAGGAAGCACAAGAGGCCTTAGCGAAAGTCCGTAAGCTTATGCAGGTGATTCTTTACTTTCTCTTCATATAGTGCTCTCAATGAAAATAAATTAACATCAAAAATCATATTAGATTTTTTGAACAGGGAGGGTTTAAGTTGATGGCTTGTCTTATTCTCTACTTCCCTTCTCCACAGTAAATCTTTCCTAGCGAGCATTATGGCTGTACCTGCCAGAAGGAGGGTACCTCTCGGTGATTCCACTGTTTGGTATTTCCTTACTAAGAGCAAAGCCTGTTAACCCTGTCAGCTAAAGCAAGGATAAGAATATTCCATCACACAAGCTGTGATTAAATTAAAACATTCTGTGAATACAAACATGCAAAGCATAAAACACTTAGGCAAAAACATTGCACAGCATTGTACCACCCAAATCGTTGTTGTTTGGAGTAATTACGAAAAGAATAACAACATCAGCCAAACTCACAGGGAGATTACATGAGAGGGGGGAAGATGACATGAGGGGAAATGCAGTCTGGTGTCTGGGTTTTTCTCTCTTCTCGTGCGCACAGCACGTTTCCCAGGTGAGCCCTTGTGGGTCTGTACACTGATCTGAGTTGTCATCATCTTTCGTTTACGTCCTTTAGTTGTGTTGTTTTCCGGGGAGGATCAAAGAGTAGAATAGAGCACTGAGGAACAGCGTGGTTCTGTTCTGCGCTTCTGCGTGTAAGGGAAGTACGGAGACTGGGGTAGATGGCCTTAGTCGACACTTCTTCAGTAGGTGGAGCCATAATGCTGACAGGCTGCATTGAAAGAAGGGGGAAGAGGAGATGTGACAATCTTCTTAATAAAACTGAACTACTTCATAGATAAACCCTTGCATGGTATTTGAGCCCTATCCACGTTTGTCTGCTTTAGAAAGAGGTGCCAGTCTCAGTTAAAATGATGAATAATATTCTCAGCAAGTAGGAGATAAATTTTACTCTCCCTTAGTGTTTTCCTGGTATAATGGGTCACTGATGTAACAGACAAAAACCATGATGGTAGTTATTGTTTGTTTGTTTGCATAGCACTAACTGCAATTAAGGGTTTTCCTTTATTGTATCTGTTAAGACAGTTGCTAAGCATTGAAAACTGTAGTTAGACTTCCTGCTCACTCTGAGTATGAATAGAGCTGCCTTTTAGGGCTGTAGATGGCAGAAGTCTGATCTTTAATAATTAGACTTAAGTAGTTTATCTTTGAGGATTATTAATCTGGTGAGATGCTCTTCTCCATTTACATATATTTTAATACCTAAGTCTGATCCTGCCACTGTTGTGCTAGAATGGCTGAAACAACACTGAAGGATGTTTTCCTGTAATACTGATTATGTGTTTTTCTCCAATGCATTTTCTTCTGAATTGGACCGTTGCTGCTGTATCCGACATCTGGTGCTGCTCATCACCAACAAACCCTTGGAACATGATTTCTTATATACACACTGCATCAAACTGGTCTGTGAAATTGTTACAAAATGGTTTGTATTGAAACACGGCCAACTTGAATACATTCTGAAATGGGTTCTGCCGTGTTTTACTTGTAAACTGCAATAATGGTGCTTTCCCTCAAACCTTTCTCCTTTTTTCTTTTTTTCTTTTCTTTTTTTGTTTGTTTCGTTCTCTATATTGCTAACGCTGTTTTTCTTGCGCATTCTATCTATACGTTTTGGGCTCCATGCTTCACTGTGTGCTGGATCACGGGTACCACTGCAATGGCTGGTCAAATATACTTTGTAATGGAATAAAAACTGTAATATGGTCCTTAACATAAACCTGATCATCGCAATGGCCAATGCCAAACTCCTGAACAATATTAATTCTTGATCTGGGAATCCTGGTAAAACATCCCTGGTGCAATGGTACATTTGAATGGGGGTGGGGACATGGGGAAAAATACCCGTGTTAACACTTCTAATGTAATTTTTTTATGGTGCTTGGGTTCAAAAAAGAAATCTTTGGAAATGAGGGAGAAACAAGCTGCCAAAGAAGAGAAACAGAAAGAAAAGAAAATAGAAACAAGTGCAGAAAAATTGCGTAAGCTCTTAAAAGAAGAAAAAAGGTAACTTTGTTATATTCAGTATACTGATTACGTGGCAATAAGTGTAGATAAGACTATGAACAATCCATTTCCAAACAGCTTGTCCACCAGTAAGCTAGGTAGAGCCTCTACCTTGGTAAGCTGCTTTTCCTCCAGAATTTTTGTGGGTAGTGTCCTTTAGGGCATATAACCTTTAATGGAGAGATACGTGGAAGAGAAGTTGTTCAAAAAATACTTTGTGATGTGAAGTATTTGCATAGTGCTATATGAAACTGTGAAAGATGCCTTTTATAACAAATTGTTTGGTGGTTTTAATCTTACTTTTGATAAAGAAATTACATTTGAAATTGTGTTGCCAGGTCAGGCTTGGTTTCCATTCCTGCCTTACAGTCCAATCTCAGCGAGGCTCTGGGGAGTAGGGAGTACAGATTTGCTTTCTACATATAATTTTTGCCTGATACTGAAGATTATCTCACAGGTTAATTACATTTTTTAGGTTGAAGAAGAAAAGGAAAGTATCAACTTCCTCTTCCTCCTCTTCATCATCGTCATCATCATCAAGTGATTCTTCATCAGATGAATCAATTTCTTCTTCCTCTTCTTCCTCTGATCACAAGAAACGTAGGAAAAAGCATCGGAATAGATTCGAGTCTGCCCACAGCTCCAAAAAATGCTCGTCTAGAGCTTCTTCCCATTATAAAGATCAGTTTAGGAAAGAGGAGTGGTATTCGCCTCCGGCTGATACCTCTGCTTCCTTTCTTAACCAAAATTTTGAAGTGGAAAAACTGCTGGAAAGGCAGGACAGCTCAGTGTGTCCAAAAACAGAAGTAAGAGAGAAAGACAGACACTATTCTTTTTCGAGGACTTCAGGTGATGACGAAGACACTTGTGGAGGTAGGTCTCAAGATTCAAGAGATTGTTACAGTAGCTCCAGAAGTCTGCCAAGTAGTAGCAAAACTGAAAAACATGGTAGAACTGATAGATTTTCCTCCAGTTGGAGGGGTTCACATCATAGGTCTGATGATAAACCCAGAATGCATTATTTTAGAAAATCGGAAAGGGATGTAGAGGGAAGAAAAGAACCGTTTAAAAAACATGGCTGGGGTCAAGACAGATATTATATGTCTCCAGCACGGTCTGACTATTCTGGCAAGTCAGTGGGAAAGTACAGATCGTATTCTAGCAGCTGCTTCCGTGAAGGTGATAAAAGTTACGATAGTGATAGGCAGGTGTTAAGTCAGCAGAAACATGAAAGTGAGTGGAAGGATAGGAGAAGAAGTGACGAGGAGACTAATAAAACAGAGGAACCAGACGAGGAAATGTCTTTAAATGGTACAGCACAAACAGAAAGTGGCGTTAAAAGAAACCTGCCCCAGAACTTAGTTAAAATATTTAATCAAATAGCTGAGTTTGAGAGGGAAAAAGGAAGTAAACAGAAGAAACAGTAACATACCTAAGAAAGCACTATTTTGATGAGTGTAGTTAAATGAACTTTTATCTGTGCATCTGTTGAGGAAATGCACAGAAAGAGTAAATAGGCAAAATTTTGTTCTGTCTTGTAGAATGTGAGTTCTTAAGGTAAAGATTGTATGGTGGAAAGAGATGCAAGGACATCTTACATAAAATATCAGTTATTTAAAATCCAAATTTCCTGTGCTTTTAACTTCTTGGGGTGTTCCGGTACAATAGTCTGTGTCTGATGGGTTGAAATCCCTTGATACTTCCAGACTGTAGTTAGTTCTGTAACTCACATCAAATATGCACTTTAACAACAGATAGTTTTTGTTTGGGTTTTTTTTTTGTCCCCTGGGGTACTATTGACTGTCGATATTTTTGTATCAGACTTAACTTCCAGCTATAGAAAGGGGAGAACTGAATGAAAGTCATGTGCCATCAATGTATATATCTTATTTGATTATTAAACTTTCTTAATTTTTCTTAATTTTGTGTCTTGATTTTTGTTAATGTCGCTGGGATATTTCATACTGGTGCCCTGGTTCTATGTGCAGCTTAAGTGAATGGAACCTTCCAGTGTTTGTGAGAAGGCAAGTGTTTTGTGTTCTTTAAATGCACCAAAGAACATTCCCTAAGGTAAAAAAAACCCAACTGAAGTAGAAGAGAGTTTTAAAACAGTGATTATTGTCTAGGTAAGTTCAAGTGTAGACCTTTTGGTTTTGTTGGGTTGTTCTTGTTGTTGTTGGGTATTTTGTGTTCTTTAAATGCACCAAAGAACATTCCCTAAGGTAAAAAAAACCCAACTGAAGTAGAAGAGAGAGTTTTAAAACAGCGATTATTGTCTAGGTAAGTTCAAGCGTAGACCTTTTGGTTTTGTTGGGTTCTTGTTCTTGGGTATTTGCTTTACAAGTAGCTTGAAGGCAGCGGTTGCATTGCTGTGGAAAAAGTTACGCTCGGTTTACAATGAGATCTCCAAAGGTTGGCAAAACACACTAAGGAGCCAGTATCTGGCAGACTGTGCAATACCAATTGTACTGCTGCTGTGAGTTTTCCAAGTAATTCTGTAGATATAGGTCAGTTGCAGAAAAGGTACTGTGTAATTTTGAATAGAAAAAGTACAGTTTTACTGATTTTCATCATATACTGTCATCTTTCAGTTAAGATATGATCTGTGATAACTGATTAACAGAGTTGATCTTGAAACAAAGCATACATTGTCTTGCCTGCATTGCTGCAATGTAAGCTAAAGCTATTTTGACAGCAGCGAGATAGCAGTTTACTAAAATTAATGGCTTACACATTATTCCTTTTCATTACAAGAAAAGTGAATTAATGGCTTCTGAAGGGTTTTGCAAATCTTTAGTTCTCCAACAGTAAAAGAAGAAATTAATTTAAAGTAAATTTATTACAGAAAACTTATGCTTAACATTTCTCCTAGTTTATTGCATACTTTAGAAGAAAGTTAGAACATACATTTCTGATAGAAATTAATGCTAAGAGTGCTAGTAGATCTTGATAAATAAGTTACAGACTAATCAATTAAGAAGGCTGTATTATGGCCTTCCAAAGATTACTTCAGACTTCTTTTGCGTTTACAAGTATCAGAGGTGCTAGCTCTGCTGGATGGCTGTGAACCAGCAGCAGCTGCTTCTGCAGGAGTGTTGAGAGGCAAGGACAGATCTATGACTTTGAGTGACATCTGGCTGGAGCCTGAACTTGTGCTTCTGGAGGATCTGAAAGACAGAAGTTTACTCATCAGTATACGGAAATCCCTGGATATGAAACACTTCTAGTGGTGGCTTACAATAAAGCCAACCAGCAGCAGTGTTTATTCTAGGTAAGATTCCCTACATTCATCTTTGTAGACATTACTACTAATTGTTTAAGTAACCAGTGAGAATGTTGTTAGATTGTAACTGATTCAACGTGTTACATGCAATTAGTTGAATATATGTTGAACAGGGGAAAAAGGTATCAGTAAAAGCACAGGTGTCTGTCTTCCCTATTTAATTAGGAAAGGGAGCTCACACTACCACCTGCAAAATGTGGCTGGAGCTCAAACTTGTGCTTTTATAATGTGAAACCACTGTTTAATAAGAGCATAGTTAGCAAAAGTATGTGTAGTTATTCTGTAGTTACAGTTTCAAACTGTGATGGATGCAGAAGTAAACTTAATTGTGTGCTAGAAAAATATAGTAAACTTAAATGTTGTAGAGTGTAAGGAGAAATTTATAGAGTGTTCAGGAAATAGCAACAAGATTGAGAAGACCTTCAGGAGCGAGGAATTCTGTCATATAGGGACTAATTTTGCTAGTTTAAGCTTTAACTTTAAAAAAAAAGCACCCCAGAGCCAAAAAAAAATTACTAGCACTTACCTGGTAGAAGCTAGTGAGCTTTGTCTGGATGGTGATGGAGAACTTTGACTATCGCCAGCAGAAGCAATTGTAGGAAGCTCTAAATTGGACTAGAAAATGTGGAAGGAAAAAGAAAAGTTGACCTAATGGCTGTGTAACAGGACTGGGTATATAAGAGTTTATAATCCTTTATATTTGAGGAGATGTTGAAAGCAGATGAACGCTTTTTCTCCTGTTTTACAGTCAGTATTGCTTACTGTTGAATTTAGGAGTTGCCCTCGAAAGACACTCTCAGTAGACTAGAGCCATCAATCAAGATTTTGGTAGCAGTTAACTGGAAAGCTTACCTGGTGAAAGTACCTTTGAAAGGGTTCAGTTAAATCAGGATTTGCTTCTAGAACATCAGCTAACAATTTGTCGATGGTTCTGTTGAAGCTTTTCAATTCACGAAGATCAATGTCTCTTTCTTCCTGTGTTTCCGTCTTAGTTTTCTTCAGAGACTGAATTTCTCTGGATAGTCTGGAACACTTTTAAGACAAGTATTTTTAAAGCATTGCTATTATGAAAATGCAGCGGTTTTTCAGAAACCTGCTAAGTTTAAATTCTGTGGTTTTAACCGTACTACTGTCTATCACTATAAAGCTAGAAGTTGTCATTAATGAATATACAGACCTGCTTTATAACCCTTTCTAGTTTTGGCTTCTGTTCCTCTATGTCTTTGTTCAGCTGCGAAATACGAGCTTGTTTTTCCTTCTTTTGCTCTTGGAAGAGGGCCTCCTGCTTCAGTACTGTATCAATATTTTTTTCCATGCTCTGCAAATTAATTTGAACAGCAGTTTGAGTTTATAAAGCAGTTTTGATATCCTTTCACTTTTTGTATTATTTTGTGGGAGCGTCTGTTACCGCTACTACTTGTTTCTAAATGTAGCTCAAGCAATTGGTACTAATGGTAATACAACTCAAAACTTGCTGCGTGTCACACTGTTTAGTGGATAAATACCTGGATAGAGAGACCACCAGGTAATACTATTAATGAAGTTTTAAGTATGTATTTTTCTTGGCAGTATCTACTATATGTCCTATGGTGGTAGAGTAAGGACTAGGAGTGTTTGTTGACTTGGAGCCAGTGCCTCAGGGCTTAGAATAATCATTGGTTATAACAGAGTGCCTTTGATTTCTTCTGCCTAAGAAAATGTCACGCATCAGAGTTCAGTGTTCTTTCTTAAGGGCCAAATGGACTTTCTGAAAACAGGGAACCAAGAGTAGTCCTTGATGTGGAGCCTGAACACAAGCTGTCCTTTACCTGCATTTAGTGCTCAGCCTGCTAAGTGAAGAGTGGGCTTTCTTGAGCTAAATTAATGCTGCTTAAACTGAAGCACCCTGAATCCTGATAGAACAGGAAAATCCTGGGAGGCAGATGCTAGAGGACACTAGATGTGTGGATTTTGATCTCTTCAATATGGGACAGGATGATACAATGTCATGGTGTATGCTACACAAATAACAGCTGCTTTCCTGGATGTCAGAACAGACCCTGTCACTGTGCCTCTGGGATTTTGGAACTTCTAGCTGAATGTGGCTAAAAAGCCTGAAATTTCATTGTGATTCAAGAAAATGCAAACAAGCATTCAGTTTTTTAAAGGAGAGGTAGAGCCTTCTAAAAAATCATATTCATTTATAGAAAGATAGGATATAAAAAAAAAGGCATTCTGGGACATATTTTTGCCCTATTTTTTCAAGAGGATGGCTTGCATGGATTTAGCTACACTCTGCAGCCTTGTCTGACCAGAACTTTTGCTTCTATTTTACCTGGAGATTTTCCTGAAGTGCCTTGATTTGTCTTCTTTTGTATCTGTATTTTTCATCAGCAGCCCTTTTCTCCTCCTCTAATTTCAATTTTTCCTCATATTCCTCACCTGTGATCCCAGACAATGAGGCAGCGTTAATGCTGGACAAGCAGCGTATACAACTCAATTTTCACTTTAAGTTGTACTTTAAAGTAACTGCATCACAGAGTATTATTAGTGTTGGCAGCATTACAGAGACCTCAAGGTTTAGGGGTAATACTCTAATATTAATTCCAGATCACTGTGAAAAAGTAACTGGCTCAGGAGAGAGAATTATTTAAGAGCTACTGTTTCCAGAGCCAGCAGAGGGCACAAAAGTTAATAAAAATATTTCATAGAATTAAGTTTATATACTTTCTCCTGGTGGTGCTTTTTATGTGCTAAACAAAGTTCCACTGAAGGAGAGTAAGCTTTTGAAGTCTAAGTGGCAACAGAAACAACAGATGAAGATATTTTCCAGAATTCTGAGGAATTTTCAATATCCCAAAGCTATGTAGCCCATATGTTAAAATCTGCTAACACTACATTGAAGTAGTGCAGTTTAAGTTTTACTCTTCCTTGTCATTTTCCCAGATGCCAGGTTACTATTTTTTCCCCCCTTATATGTGAAAATCAGAGCTAACGATGGTGTAGCTAAGGAATGGATCTCCATCAGTAGAGATCAGGTACCTGCGCTGCCTGCATAGTTGATCTTGGTACAGTTTTTTGTCCCAGCTGACTCAGTCTCCCAGGAGAAGGCCAGCAGTGGCACAGCACATTCTCCTTCTGTAACTGGAATGAGGGGCTGTGTGT